TCCCTTCCCCTCACTGTTGACCACTGGATTGCTGTTGGGATGAAGGATTCTGGAGGAATGACTAATTTTTCTGCATTTTACTTTCAACTAGCTGCCGCAAGCTCCAGAAACGGAGAGCCCTGTAGAGGTGTGTCAGCCACCTATATTTGTACAGCACACAAATATTGGTGTTTCACTAGTCCTAGTGGAGTGTCTTGTTGGTAAAAACCCCTGTGAAATGTGTGTTCCTGCCTGGTGTTAGACAGTGGAAATAAGTAGATTTGTTCAAGTGCCTTAATCCAATACAGCATCAGTGTGGTAGTCTGAAAATATTTTAAAAATGGTAAGCTAATCCTAAGTCTGTTCCTTTCAGCCATTTCCTTTATTCTTTAAAGGGTGGCACTGGGAAAAGTCTCCTCTCAAATTTTCCTGCATTGGCAAAATGAGACTTCATTTTGGCTCCTAATGCAGAATTTGGTTTTCCCTTTGCCTCACATACTTAAAAACTTCAGTACTTTAAGGAAAGGGAAGTTCTTAGTGGAAGCTTCATAACTCCAGAGCAAATGGTGTCCCATTTAAAATGTCCCAGTGGACAAGCTCAGGGTCACTGCACATTGTCAAGGCCACTGGTTCTAAGGGAATTGGATATGTGGAAACATGTCCTTTATGTGCATAAAGCAGATTATTTGCCAAAGAGAGGGCAGGAAAATTTATCAGATCTTAAATTCCTTTGAAATTCATGGGACATCCACCCATGACATTGGTGGATCGTACAACTGGGTGCCAAATCAGTGCAAATCTAAATGAAACACCATGGAAGTCTAAGTCTGGGAGAGTGTTGATTCTCTGAGCTGTGAAGTTTTTATAAATGTGAGATCATGTAGAAAAAGAAGTGTTTGTGATGGTTTAGGCCTTCGTCATTTTTGTGGAATAGTGTTTAAATGTAACCTGAAACTCTGAGTGGTCATCAAATGGATTTGAGATGTCTGGGAGATGGCTCCTGGTTTCTGATGGAGAAATCTCATCTTTTGAGATGCTTTAAAGCAGCAAAACCCCAATGTGCTTCAGCTTTGCGAAGTGGCAGTTGCATTCCTGGAAATGAATATCTAAAGTGAGAGAGATTTGATTTGGAGACGTGCCAAGGGGCAGTTCAGTGACTCCCCCTGGCATCCTGGCCATGGGAAGGGAGCCCCCCAGGCTGGGCCAGAAGCCCTCCCCAGTCTCAAACGAGTTTCAGTGACCACCGTGGGATGTGTTGGAGTCCCTGACCCCCTGGGTGTGTGTCCGGTGGGCTGGGGGTGTCCCTGTGTGTCTGTGCATGGGCATGCGTGGGCTGAGCCCCCCAAACCTGGGAGTGTCCCTGGGGGCTGTGACACAGACAGAGCCGTGTTCCCTGGAGCACTGCTGGCACGCGTGCATGCCAGGGGGGCGTGAGGGTGGCACAGCAGAGGGGCCAGGGCTGCCAGAGGGCAGGTGTCCTGTTTTGGTGGCTTGTCAGTCCATCTCCCTCATCTCCCACCTCGTATCCAGCTGTGGCTCCCCCGGTATTCCCCATGAGTGCCAAGATGTTGGTCTCTCTTGAGTGTTGTTCTGCTTTAAAATGACCTTTCTGCACGCACAGCAGGAGCTTGATCAAACTCTACCCCAGAGGCAACTGGAGGATCATAGAAGGGTATGTACAGCAGTCAAGCACATTCAGAACTCATCTCTCCCTTTCCCCTGTAAACAGCGAAGCCTAAGTCATGTAAGAAACTTGTGTGGCTAAATGCTGGCTGGAAAATCCAAAAAATGAGCCCTGTGGGCAGAGGGAGGTGCTGGAGCCCCTTCTCTGGGGTTGCATGGAAGGGATGAGTGCTTGGCTGTTCTGAATTGAACTCAGGTCCTGGTCTGGTCCATTCCCACTGTCAGAACCTTCCCCGGGGGTGCTGATCACTCTGCTGTGAAGTGACATTCATCAGTGCTCCTGGAGTTGGCTCCTCTGGCCACACCACCCCTTTGTAGCCAGCCAAGCTGCAAAGTCAGCATCATTAGTCCCTTTCTCCATTTCTTCTCCTCCTGTAGCTGGGAACACAACAGCAGCAACTTATACCTGCTTCACTCTGAAATATTAAAGATGCTCTGTTTTAAAGCTTCTAACAGGTTTCTGATATCACTTAGAGTTGTGTGTTGCATCTGCATTGCTGATGCTTGTGCAGTGATGTTTCTGTGTGACTTAGTGTTACTTCACCTGGTGTGAATGCAGATGAAACTGGACGCTGTTGGGTTTTTTCCTAGGTACCATATTTGATTTTTCTGGTTACTGCCAAACATCTGATATTTGTTTGCATACTGCCCTCGTCAAAGTGGTGCACAGCACTAACAGGATGGTTAAAGAACTGTTCTGGAGCCAAGCATTGCAGCTGAATTAATTGGAACATTTCTTAAATACCACTTATTTTTTCTTCCTTCTGCTTTGATCACATACTCATATTTTGTTAGCTGATACCGTGGATTTGGATAAGTTTGTAGAAACCAAAGCTTTTATTCCCAGTTAGAGTTTGAAATGCTGGTGACTGTGTATTGCCAGACCTGGATCAGCACACTCTGACTAGAAACAGCTGCTTGACACTTGTTCCTGCTGTATTTTCTGGTGATTTGTCTTGTTTTGGATGCACAACACCTACAGACACCAGAGGTACCTGTCCTGCTCAGGTCTCCACTCACCCCAACTATTTTGAGCATGGAATAGAAGTCACCTCCTGCTCCACAAGGGGCCAGAAGGAGAATCTGGGGGCAGCTCCAAGAGCTTTAGTTGCCCTCCTCAATTCAGGCAAGGTGGAGTTTGCTGATCAGCTGTTCTCAAGGCTGGATGTGTGTTATCTTTGTAGTAAGTAGTAAAAATCCCTGGTTTAAATGCCATTTGACAGGATGACTGCCAGTTAGTTCAACAGAGGAGGAAAAAGGTGCTGTGAGAGCTCCCTTGTAGCCATTTGTGTCCTAGGGCCCATCTGGGTGTCAAGTTGCCTTTCCAATCAGTGCACATGTACAAGGAAGATGTAGTTCAGGGGGTTTTTTTGTCTGGCTTGGCCTTGTTCTGTCACGTAGCCTCCCTCACCTGCCAGACTGGAGCAGGGAGGTGCATAAAGCACTGCCTCGTGTCCTAAACACTCTCGTGTTGCTGTCAGTCGCAGGAGCTGCTCCAGGACAGGGTTTGCTGGAGCTCCTGAGCTGTCTCTTGCCTCTCCCACATGTTCACTCGTTGGCCCAAATGGTGATGGGAAGCGTATGCCCCTTGGAGAAGTGCTCATCTCCTCCTACTGCTGCTTCCACGGGAGTTTCCCTTTTTTCTGTTGTTTGGGAGCTTTTGGAAGCAGCTGGTTGGAACACTGACTTTGTGTTTATTTTGCATCCTGTTCCCTGACACTTGCTCCCTCCCCATCTGATCCCATGAAATGCAGCTCCTGTGCTGCAGGTTTCACAGTGAGAATCCACAGGAACCATTTCTAAGCTGCTGGATTGTGGTGACAGGGTGGCAGTGGGAGCCCTGACTTGAGCCCCAGCCCTGTGGGAAGGGCAGACACCCCTCACCAGCTCAGGCATGTGTTGGGCTTCTTCCTGTGGAAGTAATTTCTGAAATTTGGTAAAGAACTTGATTATCAGACGGACTTTTGTCTTTTTTTTTTTTCTTTTGGGGTATAAGGATCTCTTGAAGTGGCTTTGTGAGTGCCAGCTGTGTATAAAATCAGTGGGACTGCAGCAGGGCTGGAGTTCTGTACAAGCCAATTAATGCACATTTATGTCGTTCCATTTACTTGTGTTTTAAAGGCTTCCTGTGAAAATTTCAAGAGTTAGACTTCACTTTTATGGCAGCTAACGTATTAAATGACATCTTGAATCTATAGTCAGACAACTAATTTAATTTGAAATACAACTGAAAATCAATAAATCGGTGACAAGCACATTTTGTGAATGGAACTAAAGATAAGATGCTTTAGTTAATTGGACATATTTTTAATATGAAATTATTTTTGGCTAGATGGGTATTTTTAAAAAATTATTACTTATTTTCTGAAGCCCCAGAAAAGCCCTTCCCTCCCCTCTGCAGCGCTGTCCCGGGATGGTGTTGCTGTAACCACGCTGCCATTAGCAAGGCAGGAGCTCCCAGTGACCAAAATCCCCAGGTCTCCTTTGTGCACAAAGACCTTAAAAAATCCCTTAATCCCCGTGCAGTGTTTGTGTGCTGGCAGTGCCTCCAGCTTTGTCCAGCTCCCCAAATCCCAGGGAATTCCTGTGGAGGCTGAAGTGGCAGCTGTGGGGTGACGTTCCACCTGCAGGTGTTGGATCTCTGCTGGCTCGTGCTGGGGCCGTGCTGGAGCTCTGTGTGCTCCAGGATTTGGGGTTATGTGAGGACCTGCCCTGTGCTGGGATGGGTGCTGGGGTGGGGTGGGAGGGCTGGCGTGACTCGGGCAGCTGCCAGCAGGGAACAAAGAGCCGGGATCCAGCGGGATCGCTCGGGTTTCCGCTCGGCAGCTGATGGATTGTGTCAGCTGCTGGTGGAGGGACAGCGGAGCACAGCCCTGCAGGGTTGGTGGGATGGCCAGCAGGAGAGGTGTGAGGGGATTAAATTGTTCCTTAAAACCATTTCTGGTGTTCCTCTAATCCACCTCTTGATTCTGTGTTGGTGCTGTACAGATGCGTCTCCTTTGCATTTGAGACCGAGACAATAGAACTTAATTAAAACAAACCTCTCAGAAAATTAAATCTGTCTAGAAAGCTGTACACAAAACCTGAACTGCAGCTGTCTCTGTGCTGCATGGGGGAGCCCATAATCTTATTGAGCCCCATGAGACCCTTCCAATGTCCCAGCCTGCCCCAGCACATCAGGAGCAGCTCAGTGGATTTCTCCAACTCTCCAGGGTTTCATTCCCCCTCCCTCACCGTAAGAAGGGTACTGCTAACAGCAGCCCTGCTGCCAATGAACATGGGTGGTTGGCCTGTTCCTGGAGCTCCCGTGGTGACTTCCCTCTGCTCTTTGCGTGCAGGGCGAGGCCCTGAGGCAGGTTTTGGTGAACCGCTACTACGGCAACGTGCGCGCGGCCGGCCGGCGCGAGAGCCTCACCGCCTTCGGCAACGGGCCCCTGGCCGCCGGCAGCCCCGGCAAGGCCGGCCCGGGAGGTAGGACACGCTCTGCTATCCCTGGGGCTGCCCTTCCCCGCTCGGGGGTTGTGTATTCCTGACCAGTCAGCACCCCACGGCTCAAATCGGGATGTTCTCCCTCACGGTTTTGTCTACGAGCTCCCAAAGAAAGTAGAACTGTCCATGCGGGTGACTGCAGTTGGGAGCAAAACTAGCAGACAGAGCTGTTTGTGCTCCTCAGTGACTGCCTTGGGTTGGCTTGACGTTTGTGACGTTGCTTTGAATAAATGTACTTAGAAATCCTGATCAGTTTAATATTTGCAATAGTATCTAGGAAATGTGCCCATAAGGATGTCAGATTATGAACCATTTCTGAAAGAAAACCATTTCATGGTATTGCAGAGTTTGTGGGGTAGGGTGGGCAAAAATTCTATTTGAAGCCAGTTGTACAGTGAAGTTTATTTAATTTGATGCCATTGCTAAAAAAGTCCGTGGTGGAATCACAGAATGGGTTGGGTAGAAAGGGAATTTAAAACTCATCCTGTTCCACCCCCTGCCGTGAGCAGGGACCCCTTCCACCATCTCAGGTTGCTCCAAGCCCTGTCCACCTGGCCTTGCCATCCCCATGGGGTCAGTGCCATCCTGTTTGTCCTGATCACCTTTACAGGAGGAAGCTCTGGGTCGAGCTCAATGAGCCGAGGGGAGATGAGCCTGGCAGATGTCCAGTGCCACCTGGATAAAGAAGGTGCTTCCAACCTGGTCATAGATCTCATCATGAATGCCACCAGTGACAGAGTCTTCCACGAGAGCATCCTGCTGGCCATTGCCCTGCTGGAAGGTGGGAACACCACGATACAGGTAGGGAAATGGAAAACTCCATCTTGTGACTGAGCTTTGTTGGGAAGGGAAATGTTTTTATGAACTCCAGGAAATTTGAGAGGGTTAAGGAGGCGGGAGGGGAAATTATCTGAATGATCTTTGACCTGTAATTAGAGGGAAATATTAATGTCTGCCATGCAAAAGTGAACTTATTGAATGTTTGCACGGGCATTGGGTACATGAGGTGTTTTCCCAGGGCAATATAGAGGAATGTTTAATAAAACATCTTTGTAGATAAGTTATTGACTGCTCTTACAAATAACTTAAGTAAGTGTAACCTGCTCAGAGACTTTTACAATGAACTGTTAAATTTCAGACTGGAATTTGACATAAGTGTATGGTAAACTCCAGACCACCACCATTCTCCAGCAATCTCACTGTTCTTCCTTTCTGTGTTTTCAACAAGGATTAGATTCCCCTAAAAGGAAATTGTCTCTGGTATGGATTAATGAACACATACCAGCGAGCTCTTACACTCTTCCAAATGGAAAGTAAAACCTTATTATAGCAAAACTTGCTTACAAAGATGATTGAATCTGTGATGTCTTATTTGTTTAGCTCTGCACGTGTTGTGTTTGCAGTCTGTCTGTGGGGCTAAGTCCTGACCAGTTGTAACTGATTGCTGTGGTTGAGACACACACTAGATCCCTACAGCAGCACCTCCTGTGTCCATGCAAACTTCCCTTCAGAGGACAGGGAATGTCTCTGAGCTCCTTCGCTCTGTCTCTGTAATCAGTACCCTCATTAATCCCCTGTGTATAAGCTCTGGAATGAAACTTCTTTGCAATGGATAAAGTGGGAATTGAGTGTTGAAAATCCTGTGTCACCTTAAACTGCAAGAGCAGGATTAACATTCCTGGGGGACAGTCACTCCTTTAAATTTCCTGCTCTTCTCTAATGTAAAGGAAGCTGAGCTTTCATCCTTGCAGCTCTCAGGGAGCCTCAGGTAACCTCTCACTGTCATGCTGGAAGGAAAAACAAACTGCACCAGCCTGATGTGGAGAGATCCTTTGCTTGTGCTGGACCTCAGTGCTAAAGGATTGAGCAGAGTCACTTCCCACAGTGCACAAATCCGTGTTGGAAGCAGATTCCTTGGCTCACCCACTGAGAACCAACAGGAAAATCTGCTGTCCCTCTCCAAAGACACCTTTTTGCCCAAAAGGGAGGTGGTTCAGTTTGCATTTTGAGAGTGGGAGCTGGGAGGCTGTGGAATAACGCTGCGGTCAGGAGTGATGGATGGCTCTCAGGGCATCTTCCCCACACCGAGCACTGCTGCCAGGTCCTGCTCACTCCAGCCTCTGCAGATGTGCTTCCACAGCCCAGAGTGGCTATTTTCCATCCTTTCCCACTCAGGAGTAAGTGCTTGGCAGGTGTCTGTAGGACGGGCAGCCGGCAGTCCCTGGGTGCGTGCTCTGGCGGGATGGGCTGGGAGGGGGCTCTGCTGGAGTGTGGGCTGCTTTTAAGTACAGAATGTTTTAGGAACCAAATGACTTGTGATGCCTACAGCTAATGCTGTGAGCTCTGAGGGCTCAGACACACCCAGCAGCTCTTACTCATGCATGCAAAGCACGAACAGGATGTTATTGAAAATATCCCATGGAGCCGTTGGGATGTGGATATTCCGTGCTGCAACACTCCATGGACTTGGTAGCAAACAGCAAATAAGGAGCATAATCAGTGCATAGACGTGTTCTGTGGCCTTCCTCCACGTTGGTTAAACTCCTGGTGGTAGGGAGAGAGTTTTCTGGTGCCTTGCAGTGCTCCAGCACATGGGGCCCGTGGCAGTGGCAGGCAGGAGCAGCATGTCCCCAGCACTCTGAGCTCTCAGCAGGGCTGGAGAGAGCCAGGTCAGGAGAGCTCCGATGGGGAGAACACCAAACACAAAGCTTAACTTTTGGGAGAACAGCTGGCCCCACACTGGGAATCAAAGCAAAGGTGGAGGCTTGCTGTTCAGTAAAATCATTAGTTCAGGGCTCTATCTCCCAGGGTAGTTGGTGAGGGATGTGATGGCCAGGTTAAACTGGTATCCTGAGACACTGAACTCATCACCAAGCTTTGCTGTCTCCACGTAGGAAGAATGGCTCACCATGCAGAGGGCCCTGGGTGCAGCCCAGCTGTTCAGGAGAGCTGTGTGGGTTCTTGCTAATCTGCAGAGCTGATTGGTTTTGTGCAGCAGCCTTTGGCTGGCACTCAGTGAAGATTTCCTGAGTGCAGCAAAGTAATGGTCTTCCCTTAGTAGGAATTCATTTTTACAAAACACGCTGCAAAATTTGGCTGCTTATGGAAACAAGATGCACTTGGGAAAATTAACCTGATACTTTCCTTGTGTTTTATCCCAGTCTTTCTCTAATGTTCTTCGATAAGTTTTGCAGAGTGGGTAGGTAGGGCTTGGCAACCTCTGCAACCTGCAGAGTGGATTTTCTGCATTTCTTCTGCAGTTTCCAGTAAGTGCCAGTGGAAGAGTCATCCCCAGTTTCTGGACTAATAACTGTGTTCATTTTGCATCAGATGCATTTGTCATTGGGAAAGTTGACCTAGCCAAAGCAGCCAGCTTTGTCTTTGAGGTCTAACAGAGTTTATCTTCATTTAACAATTATTTTTTTGTTATTATTAGCAGCTTTTGATTGATAGTGCTCCAAACAAGTTTGTTCTGTGCTCAGTTTGAATAATTTCTACTGAACTTCAAATGCCTCTATCTACAGACCTTTGAGAAGAGGAAAGTGGTGGGATAGGGACAGGTTATGTAAAAAAGGCTCTTTGGCAGCAAAGCCAGAAATGTGTCACCCCTGCATGGCATTTTCTTAACTCCAGGTTTTCACACGGGAAATTGGTTCCGCCTGGAGTGCAGCAGAAGGTTTGTACCAACACACAGGAACTTGCACATGATGATTGTAATATGGTTAATAATGGGAGTTCCCAGGTAACTCCCATGAGCTTCAGTGGGAGAACAGATCCCCATGATGCTGGGAAGGGATAACTGCAATAGGTGTTGCTGTTTCATTAGGTGCAGGCAGGGCCAAAATTAAGGGTAGGCAAAGTAGGTGGTTGCCAACTCCAGCAGAAAAGCAAATCTCCAAACGTTCCTTATTGTAATTGGTAGGAGGGATTTTTATTGTATTGTTAAGAAAATGAATGTGGGGGAGAAGCAGGACAAGAGAAAAGGCTCCTGGTTCACCTCAGGAAGGAGGCTGAGCTGGTGGTGTGTGGCACCCTGAATCCCACGCTGCTCCGTGTTTTGCTGCAGGGGTGAATGTGAATGTGGCAAATTAGCTCTTCTGGGAAGGTCTTTGCCCGCTTCCAGCTCTCTGGGTGGAAACTTTCTGGGCTTTAGCTTTTGGAATTAACTTCGAAACACTATCAGGTTCTTTGGGAGCAGGATGGTGGTGACCTCGTGGTGGCTGTCACTCCGGCTCAGCAGGAGCCCTGGGTTTCAGTGGGAAGCCTGCCCTCGTTTGCACAGAGACAGAAGCAGAGGTGGAACCACGGGGTCAGCCCCAGACAACAAATTAACTTGACAAATGCTGCGACTCACTGAGCTGCAAATTACATCAACCCCTTTATTAATTTATATAACCCTGAGCATCCCCCTGGGGAGCGCTGGCTCAGCGGTTCTCAGCAGCCCTGGGGGTGCCCCACACTGCTCCAGAGGTGAGGGCTGAGCCTGCCCTGCTCCCCCAGTGCCAGTGCCTGGCTGCTGTCCTGGGCTCCCTTCTCCAGGGCAGGGAATGCTCTGCTGGTGCTGGTGCTCGTGGGCACTCGGAGTGTGTCTCCTTGGGAAGGGATGGGCGCTCAGTGCCTCCCCGCACACATGGCAGCAGGGCCAGGCTCTCCTCTGGTGCAGAGAGTGAGTGACAGTGCAGGGAATTGCTGAGGACTCGTCCTGCAGCGCTCGTCTCTCATCTGCTGAACAAAAATTCCGTGTGCCGTTACTCTGCCTCACCTCCGAGTTTCGGCTTTCCTTGGTCGGTGGAAGTTAATGGCAAGTAAAGTCCCTTACATAACACCTCTCCATGGAGACTCTGCTCCCTTAATTAGGGATCTTCTCCAAAGTCAGCTTGCGTGACAAATTACCCACATGCACATGTTGGTGCTTCCAGCAGGGGAAGGTAAAATGAGGTTGATGACATTGGTGGTTCCAGGCAGCTTTTAAGTGCTGCCCCAAGGTGACGCAAGGCACCTCTGCCACTTGGGAGGGTGGTGGTGCCTCAGTTCCCCTTTGTCCACTGCTGTCCCCTAGGCGGGCTGCAGTCACAGAGGATGGGGTGGTGGGAGCTGGCACACAAGGAAAAGCTGATTTTTTTCAGGAAGTGGGATTTGCTCCTGGTTTTGAGGCATCTGAGCAAAGTTGCTGCTCTTTGCAGAGGATGATGGTGGGATGTGCTGCACAGCTCTGTCCCCAAGCAGCTGAGGGTGGGGTGAGGACCAGGGGCCACTCTGGCTCGAGACATCACCAATAAACTGGTGGTGGTGAACTGGAGAGTTGTGCCTCCATCACAGCATGACAGGAGTGAACCAGTGCTCTATGGAATGGTGGCTTGGAGCTCACCGGGGTGTGAGAGGCTCCTTTGAGATGTGACAGTGCAAAAAGCTTGAGGCTTTGAACTGTTTGAACTCCCAGAGCTCGTTGAGCCTCCCCAGAGGATCCCTGTGTCCTCCCTTGAGTGCCCCCTGGGGCTGGGGGCTGTGGCTGTGCTGTCCCTGGCACAGGTGCCATGGGTACAGAAATCTCAGCAGCCAGCTCCTCATCAGTCAGGTTTGGTAGGGAATTCTGGCCTGGACTCACACACAACTCTCCCATCCCAGCCCAGTCTTGCTCCACACTTGGACTCAGTTGATGTTTCTCGACATTTGTCCTCATGTTTTGCCACCAGTGAGGAAACTCCACCAGAGTGAATTGTGGTCTCTTTTTCTCTGACTGTCCAGAGATGATTGATGGTTATTACATAATTGCAGGATTGATGCACAAAAGGAATTGAATC